GTAGGTCTCAGCTAACACCGCAGCTGGGTCCCTCAGCGTTGGTGGGCTGGGAGGGGTGGCTTCCCGCACATCTGGAGAGCCCAGGAGCCTCTGCTGCCCACTGAAACATCCCCCAAAGCGCCATGAGCCCCCAGCCTCAGCAGGGATCCCTAGCAACAATGGAGCAGCCTGGCTGGCGACCTGACTGGGGTGGTCTTCCTGCTTCTTACCCCATGGCTTGCCTCTTAATATTCAGGCCCCCAGGCCCTGCAGAGAGGAGAATGTTGGTCACCTGAGGGGCTCTCCCATGAGCATGTGGTGGCCACGAACGAGAACAGGTACACACTCAAGTGCTGCCTGCCCACGTGGAGTGGTCTAGAAAGGCCATGCTTTGGGGTGGGGGCTGCCTTGTCCTCTGGGGTTTCTTAGACTCCAGGATGGTCCCTTCCTGGACCAAGGACCCTCACCTGTCCCAGAGGCCTATGGGACCAACCGTCTTGTCTGTGGGCTCCTTGGAAAATCATTCCTTCTTTCCATTCGAGCCAGGCCCTCAGGACTTAGAATAGACCCCGCAGGACCACAGTAAGTCTGGGTGATGATTTCTCATTTTAGTCAAGGTCCACATATTTATTTTTTATTACCCGCAACAGAAGGGGAGGCCCAAAGTGGTTCCACCTTCTCCACCCTAGCCGGACACCCCCTCAGCCTCCTGAGGCCCAGTAAATCCGCCTTTTTCCTCAGGTTCCCAGGCCTTGAGTGGGCTGGGTTTTTAATTTTTTCCCTGCAGCTACAAATCAGGAAATCGGGTCATAAAACAACCTTGGGTAAGTAGGTGGGACGGAACCTGTGGCCTCCGAGCTGCTGCTGGGGAATGGAAAGCTTCCTCTCTGTCTCTCCCCCCAGCCCCCCACCCCTTTCTCTTCCCTCCAGCCCCCGCCCACTGTATGCCCATTTCCCCAGCTGGGGACCTGACCCTGGGGTCTGGAGAGGCTGTGGGCCTAGTGACCTCTCTCTGTCTGAAGGCTGATCAGGGGGTGATAGTTGCCATGGTGGCAGCAGGCAGCCCATGCCACCACTGCCCATTAGTGGACCTACCTAAGGTGGGTCTGGCTGCCAGAAGATGAGGGCAAGGTTAGAATCAAAGGGGGGTCTGACTCGGCGCTCGGGGTCAACCTGGGCACCCCCGCTTGTCTACCCCACGGCACCTTTCTCTTGCCGTGCTGCTCCAAGCTATGTTCCTCCAAAATGGGAATCCTTGCTGTGGGTCCAGGCCAGGGCGTGTCCACGCTTGGTCTGGTCGCTCCTGCTGTTGCTGTGTGGGCGTCCTACAAGAGGAGCCGCACGGGGCAGGGGGCTGCCCTGGGGTCCTCAGCAGGTCATTTGCCCCTCTGAACCTCACTTTTTTCTGTGAAGGGAGCAGGACAACCAAAGCCTTAAATGACCAAACCTGTGCAGAGCAGCGATCAGCTGCTGTGGGGAAGGCTGGGGTCCTCGCCTGAAAGAAGGGCTGTGCCCCAGTTTCGCCACCAAGCCCTTTGAAGGCTGCTGGCCTCACACTGGAGGGGAGCTGGGGACTGGGGTCTCATCGTGCTCCCATGCTCTGACTCCCCCCACACACACACACTCATGCCATTTCATGACTGTGTAGACGGCCTGGTGGGAGGTGGGACCTACTGCTACGCTAAGGCATTTTCTAGGGAGTTGGATGTGGAGGGGGACCTGGGCCCAGTTCTGTGGCATGTGGCCTTGAGCTCATGCTCCTGTCAGAGCCTGGCATGCCTCCTCCATCCGGTGGCGTGGGAAAATCAACTTGCAGGAGTCGTTATAGGAAGAAGCGTTGGTGTATCTGGTGCTTAGAGGATGCTTAAGACTTCCTGCCTCCTTCCTGCCTGCCTTCTAGGTTTAGCAAGAACTTTAGAGATAAGGCCTTGGCCAAGTGTCTAGAGAAGAGGCAGGTGGGGAAGGGGGAATGGGGGAGAGGAGGGAGAAACCTCAGGCAGGGGCTGAGCTGGGCCAGGGCAGCCCAGTGAGTGCGGGCAAGGGGTCCCTCCCCACCCCCGCTGCCCCTTCCCTCCAGCCCAAGCCAGAGGCCAAGCCCACAATCTGCCCACTTTGCCACTTCTTCCCCTCCCCCAGGTTCAAAGGTCACCATTGCTCTGCCAGGGGGCCTCTCTGCCCCCTCCTCTGCTGATGTCACCACCCCAGCACTGCTGCCTGCCTCTCTCCCCCTCTGTGTCCTTTCCTAGTGCTCTTGAAAAGTAATCATAATCATAATAATTAACAACAACAGAGCCCATGGCCGGCTTGAGGCGGCTCTTAAAGAGGCAGCACCCCATTTTCTGCTGGCAGAGCCAACCGCGTGGGCGCTGTGAGGCAGCCCAAGGTGCCAGGCCTTTGTCCCCGCACCCCTGCCTCCCCTGGGCTCAGAGGGTGGGTGGTGTTGGGGTGAGCACTTTCGCCTGCGTTCTCCATCAAGCACTGGTTTCTCCTATTTTAATTGAACTGTCTTTTCTTAGAGATAGATGCTTTCACTGCATCCAGCTGCTGCTCTTGTATACTGGGAAACCCGCCTGTAATACAGCTCGGCTAAATTAAAAGACGCAGCAGCTGGACTGATTAAACAGGGAGGGAGAGATCCGGCCAGAGTGGGCAGGGAGGGGACACTGGTGGCACCTCTCTCCTTTCTCTCTCTCTCTCTCTTTTTAAATAATGTTTCTGTTAATGCATTTCGGAGAATGTGAAAAAAAAATTAAAAAGCCGTAGAAATGTTAATGATATCCACAGGACACTCAGCAGGAAATGAGAGTGATCTGGGACTAATAAAAGCCGAAATGTAATTTGTGCAGATATACGATGCGCAGCCTTCAGAACAGTCCTGGGTTTCTGCATTCTGGGCTCATAAACACGCCCGGAGGGCAGGGAGCCGGCACCCTGTGCTCGGCCCTGAGCAGGCCCCTCAGCAGGGGCCCACCTGGAGAGCCCTAGGCAGAAGTGGCCTCCACCTGCCGGCTGGGGTGTGGATGGCGCCTGCAGGTGCCTACTACTTCCTTCTGCCTGGGGACAGAAGGGGGCCACCCGCCTGCGTGGGCAACCCTGTGGCAGTCTGGCCGGGCCCGTCTCTGTGGAGGTCAGGGTAGGAGGCACAGGGCTGCCCACCTGGCAGGTTGCCAGCAGGCCAGAACCAAGTGTCATCTCCAGCTCCTCTGGGCTGGCGCGTCGCAGCAAGCACCTCCTGTGATGTTGTAGCCAAGCTGCCAGGGACAGGAATGAAGTGGGTCAGAAGGGCGGGTGCACTTCTCCTTGTTAGGGATGCCTGCGCTCAGTGCAGGGAGCGGAGGGGAGGCAGAGGGAAGGAGGCATTGAAGCCTGGTGACAGGGGCTCGCTGGTGGGGTTGGCTGACTCCAGAGGAAGGGGAAGTGCTTTGGCTCTGCCCCCTGGGACAGGTGGACCTGGGGCTGTCCAGCTGGAGGGAGGACCTCCTCTGTCCCCTCCTCTGGGGCAGTCCCCTCCCTCTCTCCCCCCACCTCACCCTTTTCTGCCTCGTTCCCCTCTTCTCATATCTGTGTGTCTCTCTTCTCTCTACCCCTCTTTCCCTCTTTATTCCTTCCTAACCCCTTAAGTAACCCTGGAATCTTTGTAGCCCAAGGCAAGCCATCCCTTCCTTTTTCAGTGTTTGGGAACAAGAACTGGAAAGTCCCCCATCCCCTTCTGGGGGCCTGGGCCATGCAGGCTAAATTGAGCCCATTCTTCCTGCCCCTGGGCTGGCATGGCTGCTGGGTGAATCCTGAGCTTCCTGAGACTCAGGGCCAAGGGCCATTCCTGTGATGTGATTCCTCTGCAGCCTGGGGGATGCCTCTCTCTCCCATCCCTCCTTTGAGGGTCTCCTGAAAGATGACAGGCCAGCCAGTCAGTTGGGGGATCCGTTAGCTTGTATGCAAAGGGCCAGCCTGTGCTCTGAATCCAGATGCTCTGCCCTGAAAGGTCCCCAGCCTTCCTCGGGTCCTTTCCCGACAGGATCCTGCTTTGGGGCAAGCTAGGCCCACCTGGGCCCCCGCCCCTAAAATCATAACCACATGTACTCTCAGGTGTGGCCTGTCCCCGTCCTGACCTGCGGAGGCATGGAGGGGCCTGGCCAGGAGGGACAGGGCTGCATCCTACCCGCACAGGAGGGCCAGGCTGGTGCACTCTCCCGCGGTGTGGGACTGCGTCTCTGTCCCTCATTAGTATGCGCTCCCTCACTCTGGGCCACGTAATCTGCTTATGCACCTATGATATCAAAAACCGGAGGCAGGTGCTGCCGTCCTGCGTTCCCAGGAGTCAGAGGAGGGGACGTTTTATGTCTACAGTGCCACGGCATCCCCTAATGGACGTCTGCTAGAAGGAACAGACAGATTCCAGATGGCGCGGCAGTGATAGAGGAGGTGTGTGTGTGCGTGTTTGTGCATGTAAGTGTGCGTGCGTGTGCGTACGCCTGTGTGTGTGTGTGCATGCAGCAGGCCTTGGCCAGCGGTCTCCCTGGGGCAGGGGCAGACTGTCTTCATCCCCAGCATGGCTGGGTCATGCTTGAACATGGCCGTGCAGGGACTAGATTACAGGATCCAGTGGGCCCCTGGTGACATGGGAACGGGAATTGCTCTGCTAAATGATTTTGAGCTGTCAGGAAGGGCTGGGAGTGGTGGGTGGGGGCCGGGGGAGGAGCCAGTGAGGAAGAGGGTGGGGTGGCAGCTCCCCAGTAACCTGGCGCTGGGCAGCAGGTTTTGCTCTTCCCACAGTGTCGGTGGCTGTCCTTGGCAGGGCTCACCTGCAGGCGATGTGGGAGCAGGAATCACAGCACACTCCTCCCCGACACAGAAGTTGTCAATATGTGCACAGCTGGCGGGAGGTGCTGGCAGGAGGCACAGGCGAGGGGAGAGTGGGAAGAGGGCGGTGGGTTGTGCTTGCTGAGGAGAAAAGACATGGCCCATCTGAATTGCTGTCCCCCCGCCCCTCCCCACCCTCCTTCTCTCCCTTTTTCTTTTCACAGATAACCAGCCCAAGTCATGCAGTCTTTTCGAGAAAGGTGTGGTTTCCATGGCAAACAACAGAACTACCAGCAGACCTCACAGGAAACATCACGCCTGGAGAATTACAGGCAGCCGAGTCAGGCTGGGCTGAGCTGCGACCGGCAGCGGCTGCTGGCCAAGGACTATTACAGCCCGCAGCCTTACCCGGGCTACGAGGGCGGTGCGGGCACGCCCTCCAGCACAGCCGCCGCTGTGGCCGCAGAGAAGTACCACCGAGGCAGCAAAGCCCTGCCCTCGCAGCAGGCCCTGCAGGGGAGGCCAGCTTTCCCGGGCTACGGCGTCCAGGACAGCAGCCCTTACCTGGGCCGCTACTCCAGTGAGGACAGCCTGCAGGCCTGGGGGGCCCCTCAGCCTCCGCCCCCCCAGCCACAGCCCCTGCCAGGGGGGGTGGGCAAGTATGACGAGAACTTGATGAAGAAGGCGGCAATGCCCCCTGGAAGGCAGTACTCGGAGCAGGGCGCCCAGCTGCCCTTTCGGACTCACTCCCTGCACCTCCAGCAGCCCCCACCACCTCAGCAGCCCCTGGCATACCCCAAACTCCAAAGGCAGAAACTGCAGAATGACATCACATCCCCTCTGCCTTTCCCCCAGGGTGGCCACTTCCCGCAACATTCCCAGTCCTTCCCCACCTCCTCCTCCTCCTACTCCTCATCCGGCCAGGGTGGTGGGCAGGGTGCCCATTCCTATAAGAGTTGCACGGCACCGTCTGCCCAACCCCATGACAGGCCAGTGGCCGCCAACGCCAGCCTGGCCCCGGGACAGCGGGTCCAGAACCTTCATGCCTACCAGTCAGGACGCCTCAGCTATGACCAGCAGCAGCAGCAGCAGCAGCAGCAAGCCCTTCAGAGCCGGCACCATGCCCAGGAAACCCTCCATTACCAAAACCTCAACAAGTATCAACACTACGGGCAGCAAGGCCAGGGCTACTGCCAGCCAGACACAGCCGTCAGGACTCCGGAGCAGTACTACCAGACCTTCAGCCCGAGCTCCAGCCACTCACCTGCACGCTCCGTGGGCCGCTCGCCCTCCTACAGCTCCACCCCGTCGCCGCTGATGCCAAATCTGGAGAACTTTCCCTACAGCCAGCAGCCACTCAGCACCGGGGCCTTCCCTGCAGCGATCACCGACCACAGCCACTTCATGCCTCTGCTCAACCCCTCCCCAACGGATGCCACCAGCTCCGTGGACACCCAGGCTGGCAACTGCAAGCCCCTGCAGAAGGACAAGATTCCCGAGAACCTGCTGTCAGATCTCAGCCTGCAGAGCCTCACGGCACTGACCTCACAGGTGGAGAACATCTCCAACACCGTCCAGCAGCTGCTGCTCTCTAAGGCGGCCATGCCGCAGAAGAAAGGGATCAAGAACCTCGTGTCCAGGACCCCAGAGCAGCACAAAAGCCAGCACTGCAGCCCTGAAGGCAGTGGCTACTCAGCGGAGCCAGCAGGCACACCGCTGTCGGAGCCTCTGAGCAGCACGCCGCAGTCGACCCACGCCGAGCCACAGGAGGCTGACTACCTGAGCGGCTCCGAGGACCCACTGGAGCGCAGCTTCCTCTACTGCAACCAGGCCCGTGGCAGCCCTGCCAGAGTCAATAGCAACTCAAAAGCCAAGCCCGAGTCTGTGTCCACCTGTTCTGTGACCTCACCCGACGACATGTCCACCAAATCTGACGATTCCTTCCAGAGCCTGCACAGCAGTCTGCCACTTGACAGCTTCTCCAAGTTCGTGGCAGGCGAGCGGGACTGTCCACGGCTGCTGCTCAGTGCCCTGGCACAGGAGGACCTGGCCTCTGAGATCCTGGGGCTGCAGGAAGCCATCGGCGAGAAGGCTGACAAGGCCTGGGCCGAGGCACCTGGCCTGGCCAAGGACACCAGCAAGCCGCCCTTCTCTCTGGAGAACCACAGCGCCTGCCTGGACTCTGTGGCCAAGAATGCATGGCCACGGCCCGGGGAGCCAGAGGCCCTGCCAGACTCCTTGCAGCTGGACAAGGGCAGCAGCACCAAGGACTTCAGCCCAGGGCTGTTCGAAGACCCTTCTGTGGCCTTCACCACTCCTGACCCCAAGAAGGCAACTGGTCCCCTCTCCTTTGGCACCAAGCCCACACTTGGAGCTGCTGCTCCAGACCCCACTGCGGCAGCTTTTGACTGCTTCCCGGACACTACCACTGCCAGCTCGGTGGACGGTGCCAACCCCTTTGCCTGGCCAGAGGAAAACTTGGGGGATGCTTGTCCCCGGTGGGGACTACACCCCGGTGAGCTCACCAAGGGCCTGGAGCCAGGCGGGAAGGCCTCAGATGGTGTCAGCAAAGGGGACGCCCATGAGGCTTCAGCCTGCCTGGGCTTTCAGGAGGAAGAGCCCCCTGGGGAGAAAGTGGCCGTGATGCCCGGGGACTTCAAGCAGGAAGAGGCGGGTGGGGTGAAGGAGGAGGCGGGCGGGCTGCTGCAGTGCCCAGAGGTGAGCAAGGCCGACCGGTGGCTAGAGGACAGTCGGCACTGCTGCTCCGCTGCCGACTTTGGGGACCTCCCGTTGCTGCCGTCCACCAGCAGGAAAGAGGACCTGGAGGCCGAGGAGGAGTACTCCTCCCTATGTGAGCTCCTGGGTAGCCCTGAGCAGAGGCCCAGCATGCAGGACCCGCTGTCACCAAAGGCCCCACTCATCTGCACGAAGGAGGAGGTAGAAGAGGTGCTGGACCCCAAGGCTGGCTGGGGCTCCCCGTGCCACCTCTCTGGGGAGTCTGTCATCTTGCTGGGCCCTACCGTGGGTGCCGAGTCAAAGGTCCAGAGTTGGTTTGAGTCCTCCCTGTCCCATATGAAGCAAGGGGAAGAAGGCCCCAATGGGGAGAGGGCTCCAGGGGATTCTGCCACCTTGGACACCTCCTTGGCCCAGAAGCTGAACAAGCCCGCTGTGCCTGAGGCACCCCTCGCTAAGAAAGAGCCCGTGCCACGGGGCAAAAGCTTGCGGAGCCGGCGGGTGCACCGGGGGCTGCCTGAGGCTGAGGACTCCCCGTGCAGGGCACCAGCGTTGCCCAAAGACCTCTTGCTCCCCGAATCCTGCACTGGGCCCCCACAAGGACAGATGGAGGGCGCCGGGGCCCCTGGCCGGGGGGCCTCGGAAGGGCTCCCCAGGATGTGTACCCGCTCCCTCACGGCCCTGAGCGAGCCCCGCACACCTGGGCCCCCAGGCCTGACCACCACCCCTGCCCCCCCAGACAAACTTGGGGGCAAGCAGCGGGCCGCCTTCAAGTCTGGCAAGCGGGTGGGGAAGCCCTCACCCAAGGCTGCATCCAGCCCCAGCAACCCGGCTGCCCTACCCGTGGCCTCTGACAGCAGCCCCATGGGCTCCAAGACCAAGGAGACGGACTCCCCCAGCACACCCGGCAAGGACCAGCGCTCTATGATCCTTCGGTCCCGCACCAAAACCCAGGAGATCCTCCACTCCAAGCGGCGGCGGCCATCAGAGAGCCGGCTCCCCAACTGCCGCGCCACCAAGAAGCTCCTTGCCAACAACCACCTGCCCGCCACCTTCAAGGTCTCTGGCAGCCCCCAGAAGGAGGGCAGGGTGGGCCAGCGGGCGAGGGTCCCCAAGCCCGGTCCAGGTGGCAAGCTCTCTGATCGGCCCCTTCATGCGCTCAAGAGGAAGTCGGCCTTCATGGCGCCTGTCCCCACCAAGAAGCGGAGCCTGGTCCTGCGGAGCGGTGGCGGCAGCAACGCCAGTGGCAGTGGAGGGGACGGGAAGGAGGAGCAGGCCGAGGGCTCCCCCACCCTCTTCAAGAGGATATCTTCTCCCAAGAAAGCCAAGCCCGCCAAGGGCAACGGCGAGCCCACCACAAAGCCCCCGCTCCCAGAGACTCCTGACACCTGCATCAAACTCACCTCCCGGGCAGCCTTCCAGGGCACCATGAAGACCAAGGTGCTGCCGCCCCGCAAGGGCCGCGGCCTGAAGCTGGAAGCCATCGTGCAGAAGATCACCTCGCCCAGCCTGAAGAAGTTCGCGTGCAAAGCGCCAGGGGCCTCCCCTGGTCGTCCTCTCAGCCCAGCCCTCCCTGAGAAGGACCGTGGGCTCAAAAGTGCTGGGGACAGCCCCGTGGGGGCAGAAGGAGGTCTGCTAAATGTGGGCACTGGGCAGTTGGGGGCCGACCCGTTATGCAGAAATCTGACGAACAGATCCTTAAAAGGCAAGCTCATGAACAGTAAGAAACTGTCCTCGGCTGACTGTTTCAAAACTGAGGCCTTCACATCCCCGGAGGCCCTGCAGCCTGGAGGGGCCGCCCTGGCGCCTAAGAAGAGAAGCCGGAAAGGCAGGGCTGGAGCCCTCGGACTCCCCAAAGGCCCTCTGGAGAAGCGACCCTATCTTGGCCCAGCTCTGCTCCTGACTCCCCGAGACAGGGTCAGCAGCACACAGGGGGATGGTGAGGACATCTCTGGTGGAGGAGGCAAGAAGCCAAAGACGGAGGAGCTGGGCCTGGCCTCCCAGCCCCCAGAGGGCCGGCCCTGCCAGCCGCAGACAAGGGCGCAGAAGCAGCCAGGCCATGCCAACTACAGCAGCTATTCCAAGCGGAAGCGCCTCACTAGGGGCCGGGCCAAGAATACCACCTCTTCGCCCTGTAAGGGGCGTGCCAAGCGGCGCCGGCAGCAGCAGCTGCTGCCCCTGGATCCCGCAGAGCCTGAAATCCGCCTCAAGTACATTTCCTCTTGTAAGCGGCTGAGGGCAGACAGCCGGACCCCCGCCTTCTCGCCCTTCGTGCGGGTGGAAAAGCGAGATGCGTTCACCACCGTGTGCACTGTCGTCAACTCCCTTGGGGATGAGCCCAAGCCCCACAGGAGGCCTTTCTCCTCCTCCTCCTCTTCCTCATCCTCATCCTCCTTCTCCTTGGATGCGGCCGGGGCCTCCCTGGCCACGCTCCCTGGGGGTTCCATCCTGCAGCCGCGGCCCTCTCTGCCCCTCTCCTCCACAATGCACTTGGGGCCTGTGGTTTCCAAGGCCCTGAGCACCTCTTGCCTTGTTTGCTGCCTCTGCCAAAATCCAGCCAACTTCAAGGACCTCGGGGACCTCTGTGGGCCCTACTACCCTGAACACTGTCTCCCCAAAAAGAAGCCAAAACTCAAGGAGAAAGTGCAGCTGGAAAGCACCTGCGAGGAGGCTTCACTGCCCCTCGAGAGAACACTCAAAGGCCTCGAGTGTGCAGCTGCTGCCGTCACTGCCGCTGGGAAGCCCACCAGGCCTGACGGTCCAGCCGACCCGGCCAAGCAGGGCTCACTGCGCACCAGTGCCCGGGGCCTGTCCCGGCGGCTGCAGAGTTGCTACTGCTGTGACGGCCGGGGGGACGGTGGAGAGGAGACAGCCCCAGCCGACAGGAGCCGCAGGCACGAGTGCAGCAAGGAGGCCCCAGCAGAGCCTGGTGGGGACACCCAGGAGCACTGGGTGCATGAGGCCTGTGCGGTGTGGACCAGCGGGGTCTACCTGGTGGCCGGGAAGCTCTTTGGGCTGCAGGAGGCCATGAAGGTGGCCATGGACATGGTAAGAGACCAGCCCGGCCAGGGAGGGGAGCACGGGGCTCAGGGCAGGCAGATGGGCAGTCGGGGAGCCCCATGTCTCTTCGGTGCCATGGTTTGGGGGAACATGACCACAGTCACAGTACTATCGGCAGGCTCCGAGAGCCCCTCTGGGGAGTTTGGGGGAAAGTTGAGGCATACCTCAGGCTAAGGCAGAACACACTTGTTCACCCTGTCCCAGGAACCTTGCGGCCCCTACATCCAGCCAGTGCCCACTCACACACTCACCTGGCACTTTCCAGAGCCCACCAGCCCACTGTCTGCTGTCAGCTGAGATGCTGAGGTCCAGAGAGGGACGCAAGGCCCCCCAGAATTGGCCATCAGGGCAGCTGGCAAAAATGCAAGTTACCCACCCTCCACCCTGCCTCCCTCACCCCCAGGATAGAGCTGGGGGTTGAGGGGAAGACCCTCTCCAACATGTGGCTGGAACATGGGACCCTGTCACAGGACCCTTCCCCTTTGCAGGACAGCCCCCAGGCTCTCAGCCCACAGCAGCAGGGGAGTCCAGGAACCTCTAGGTGTGAGCTCTGAAGCCCCTGCAGGGAGCTCTGTCATAGGCAGCTGAGAACGAGCACCCCGGGCTGCTCCGCACCCACTGCGTAGCTTTGGGCCTGAGACTGAACCTCTCTGGGCCCACCTTTCCGCATCTCTAAAGTGAGGGGTCATAAGGTTTAAACGAGGTACTGCCTGCAAAGCTATTTGGGCTGTACCTGGCCAGTATCAGTGCTCTGTGAGGACTTGGTATTGGTGGGACTAGTGGCAGTGGGAGTGACATCATTACCAGCAGTGACACTGCTGCTGCTCCAGTACGACAGGCCTGGCCTCACTCCTCAGGCTCCCTCCTGAGGGAGGTCAGGAGGCTGGAGCTCGTGTGGTGGTGGTCAGCGGGAGGTGCCGGGTCCTGGGCAGCAGGGGTCCACGTCCTCCCCTGGGGACCTGTGCCCCTGCCACCCCCCCCATTCACTCGGGGCCCCATGCGGCCCCTGTCCAGGCTTCTGGGGGACGACGCTCCTGGCACTGTGCAAGGAGCAGTGGGTCGCACTTACCCTGCCCCGGCCCTGCCTCTCCCGCTCCTTCCTTCACAGGGGCCACCGTGGACACTGGGGCCCAGTGGCGGAGCCAGAGGAGCTGTCCAGGCTTGGGCTTCGGGAAACTTTCGCTGCCTGCCTCTGAGCAGTTCAGTGGCCTGGCGGAGCTGCCCCTGCCTGGTGGCCTTCACCTCCTGCCCACCTGCTCCTTCCTAGAACACCCCTGAAGCCACCCTGACCAGCCCTGCACCCGACAAGAGGCCCAGGCACCGTCTGGCCAGACCCCACTCCCAGGGAGCCGCTGAGGGGGCTGCACACGCCCCCGGTGTGTGTCAGGGTGTCAACCCCGCTCCACGCCCACCTCTCTCTAAGCCATAGCTCTCACCTCACCCAGGCCAGCCAAAGGCCACCTGCAGCAGACGGCGGCCCCCGGCCTGGGCCTCTCCCTCTGCCCTTCTCAGTTATTGTCCCCCCTCCTGCTTTCTCAGCTTCTCTCTCTCTTGTCACTGGCTCTTTCCCAGCTGCCTTGAAGTAGGCTCAGGTCTCTCCTGTCATTAAAAATACTAGTAACCCGCAGATGGCCAACCCTGCCATTCACAGCCGCACTCCTGAGCGCCCTGTCCGTGCTGCAGCCTCGCCGGGCACTGCCTCCCCGCTCCCTGACACTCATGTCCCCCAGGCCCACGTCCAGGGCCTCCTCCAAGGGCAGGGGCTGGGGGAGCAGGGAGGAGATGATAGTGAGGGTCGCTGCCCCTGCCGGTTCCGATGCCCTGGGCATCTACCTCACTGACCTGCACACACACACACGGCCCCGCTGGACTGGGGAGAAAGTGACTCAGAGACGTGCCACACGCTTCCTCCCAGTGTCACGCAGCCAGAGAAAGCTGGAATTCGGCCACTCGGCCCATCGCTGTCCACTGTGTCGTGCTCCAGAAATGGCCTGGCAGCCCCCGCCACTGGGACGCCTGGGAAAGTCAGGGCGAGGAGAACACACTCCGGCAGGTTTTGCTGGTCACTGAAGGTGTCTCTCTGGCAGGGAGATGGTCCCTGGCTGTGCCTGGGGATGGGAGCCAGGGCACGTGCCCCCCCAGACAGGAGGCTTCTCCTGAGAGCCTCAAGGGCTCATTATAGCAATTCCCACCCGGAAGAGTCAGGCCATCCCCATGGAACACCCTGGAAGGATGGGCAGGGTCTGGGACTTCCCAGAGTCCCTGCTCAGGGGCCCTCATGGCCACTGTTCTGTCCACCGTCCCTTCCTGCTTTGGAGGCTTGGTGGCACCAGGTGCCTTTGGAGTCAGACCCTGGCTCAGATCCCAGGTCTGCCAAGGGCCAGTTACATAACTCCAGACAAGTCACTTGTCCTCTGTGAGCCCCAGAACATTGAGCCCCGTTAGCAGGCTTGTGGGGTCATGCAGATCATCTGTGACCCGCCCAGCATGCAGTAGGGCTCAGTGTGCAGCTGAGTCCCCAGCCCCCGACCCCGTTACACCTGTTGGTACTTCGGCCTCACTTTTGCTCTCTGGAGAACAGAACTGTGCAAGCCCCCAAGGACAGCCACTTCCTTAAGTATCCCCTCCTGGGAACCCCCCACAACACCTGCTGTCTCTGCACCCTGCCATGCCCATCTCCTGAGACCTCAGTTTCCCAGCCTGCCCTGTCTTTTTTCCATGTCCGGCAACGGATCGCAACCCTCAGTGTTGCCCCCGTACCGGACCGGGGACCGGCAACGGGACCGCAACCCTCGGTGTTGCTCCTGCGCCTCGCTCAGCCAGTGAGCGGGAGCCGGTCTGCATGTGGGATCCGAACCCTCGGACGGGAGCGCCGCCGTGCTTCCCAAGCGGCGCACTATCCAGTGCGCCACTGGGCCGGCCCTAAGCCAATTAGTTTTGATACATCTATTATATACCTTTTGAGAAACTCCAGGGCCCTTGGAATTCCTCAAAGTTAAAGTTAAAATGTTGAGCTTTCAGAATTTGGTTTTGGAAAGTTTTGTTAAATAACAAAAGGCTTAAAACATTTAGTTGAATAAAATCACAAATTATTATAAAAAGTAAAACCAAAGGGACAAAAGGTTTTAAAGGCAGAGAGCACAAGAACTTATCATGATAAAGCATGAAATAAGCTCCCTAGGCCAGTTATCTAAAAGACAAAGAAAACCTTTTATGATTTTTTAATAAGAGCAGTTAATGGGCCAGCGCTTGGGAGCATGGCAGTGCTCCCGCCGAGGGTTCGGATCCCATGTGGAGACCGGTTCCCACTCACTGGCTGAGCGCGGTGCGGGCACAACACGGAGGGTTGCGATCCTGTTGCCGGTCCCCGGTACGGGCGCAACACCAAGGGTTGTGATCCCGTTACCGGTCAGTAAAAAAGACAAAAAGGGAAAAAATAAATAAATAAATATCAAAACATCCCCAGGGCCGTGGGGATGGGAGACTTGGGCCTGGCCTGGGGTCCCATTCATGCTTCATTGCCCCCTTTTGGGTTGAGAACTGGGGGGACGATGGGCCCCAAATCCTTGGGGAGCCATCCCAGACGGGAAGGAGGTGTCAGCCCTGAGGCTGACTGCCCACCCAGAGGCATTATATGAAAACGTGATATTCTAGAATGTCCCCAGCCTCCCACTCCAGCTCTGGGCATAGAAGGAGCATTAGGGTAGGAGAAGGCTTTCTCACCTCGGCAGAGGAAACTGCCGACCCAGAGGCATTATATGAAAACGTGATATTCTAGAATGTCCCCAGCCTCCCACTCCAGCTCTGGGCATAGAAGGAGCATTAGGGTAGGAGAAGGATTTCTCACCTCGGCCTTCCCCAGCTGCTGGGGGTGGGATGCAGCCTGTCCGCCCTAGCAGTTTGGGTATGTGCTGGGTACAGAGCCCAGTCTGGCGCTACGTGCCTTCAGGAGGGTTACCCAACCTCTGAGCTGTCACTGGTAGCCTGGGTAAGATAGTAATACCATTGTGAGGTTGTCACAAGGGCAAGGCTTCCACCACGCCTGGTGCGTGGTGAGCTCCTGCTGTCTGTTTCAGTGGCGCAGCATCTGGGCATGGGCTCTGCCGCCGCCTCTGCTTCTCTCCTCCCCTCACCCCCACCGGTGCTGTGGCAGCTGTGGTGCTGGCGTCTGCGTGACTGTGGGCCGGTCATCATCCCTCCCCAGGCCTCAGGTTTTGCTTCACTCTTCCAAGGGCCTTCTGGGTATTGCCACCCTTTCTGGCCACGTCCCCCTCCAAGCAGCTGGGCCAGGCATGGGGCAACCCCCAAGCTCAGAGGATGACAATTTTGAGATCTAGAGGGGCTGGGCCCCATGCCGTATGGCATCTCTCCCCAGATGCTGTACCTCCTCCTGCAGATCTGAAATGTCTCAGCCTAGCTCAGGACAGTCCATTTCTAGGTTTGGTGTTCCTGCTGCTGCCAGAAAGGGTAGAAAACAGTGCTTGTTGCTTTCAAACTTGCCCAGAACAGGAGCCTCAGTTTCACCATCCGTAAAGTGGGCTATTGAAAGTTACCCGCCTCAAGGATTGTTAGAAGGAGCCAGTGGACAAGGGCACATGCTGCGCCCAGCACGTGGACATGCTCCACAAATGCCAGTTGTTATCCACAGCTGCCACTGCAATCAGCGTCACTGGCCTAAGAGGGTCCCCCACCCAGTGCACCAGCCCAGGGGATGCCAAAGAATCAACCCCTGTGGGCATCTGCACCCCAGTACTGGGGCAGTCAGCTGAAATCCTTCCAGCTGCTTTTCAAGGACCATTTTGGAGGAAGGAGGCAGGGACCATGGGGGCTTGTCTGCATAGCTTGAGGGGTGGGCTCTTCAGCCAGAGACTCACCTGCCTTCCCTCTCTCTTCATCAGACATGTTCCAGCTGCCAAGAAGCCGGGGCCACCATCGGGTGTAGCCACAAAGGATGCACCCTCACTTACCATTACCCGTGTGCCAGCGACGCAGGTAACAGCCAGCCCACGGGGACAGGGAGGTGTGGAGGCCCATCTGAGCAGTCCAGGGAGACCCTGGGCACAGCTCCTCCAACCCAGGCTCCACCTGGCCCCTCAGTTTCTCTCCTCTTCTGCCCCAGCAATTCTTTATCCCCTCATCTTTCTTTCTACCTAGACCTGTGCTGAGCATTGCCAGGGACATGGAAATAAATCAGTCCCCAGCCACCTGCTGAGGAATGTCCAGAGCAATGAGCGGAGACAGAGGCATAAATTAGAACAGAGAGAGCTGTCTGAGGTGCTGTCATTGCCGAGAGGTGGGAAAGATCTCAGGCCTCAGAGACACAGGGGTCCTGGGGCTGGGCCTTTGAAGAACGAATAGAGGTTCACTGAGCAGAGAAAAAGGGAAAGGTCGTACATACCACAGCAACAGGAAGTGGATGAATTGGGGGGAGACGAGGTTCAAAGCAGAGACTAAGGCCAAATGCTCTTCTGTTGGCCATAGGCAGCGGTTGTGGAAGGCTGAGCAGCAGACAGTTGCAAGTGGAGGCAGGACCAGCCCCGCATCCCGTCCCCAGTCCCTACTCTCACTCGCTCATTCGTTTGTTCCACGGATATTTATTGAGCACCTACTGTCACCAGGCAAACAGAAGGACTGATGGCATGGGCCAGAGAGATCCGGGAGCCCCGACCCTCATTGAGTACATTGGGAAACAGAGGCGCAGAGAGAGACATTCCTTATTCAAAGAGAGCAGTTGCTTATGGTGTGATGTTAGTAACTCATGACGGCAATATTTCAGGGATTCAAACCCTGGTGGCATTTCTTTATGTGTGGTCTTGGGTCAGTCCATTGATGTCTCTGCAGTTGGTTCCCTCATCTGTGAAATGGAGATGATAATAGTCTCTTCTTTCCAGAACTGTGTGGAGCAGAGAATGAACGCTGCTCAGGAAGCACAGCCTTGGTCCTGTTTCAGGCCCAGCCCCCATGACCTCTGTCCCCCTCGCCCTCCTTCCCTCCCAGCCCTGGCCTGGAAGAAGGTGATCATGGCCCTGCCTCGCCGTGGACAGAGCCCAGACACCTGGGCTCATGTCACTCCCAGAGACCCTCCCACCACCCCTCCTCGCCACCTGGGCAGAAGGAACCACAACCTGCACCTCACCTCCACTGGGTCCCAAGGCTAGCGTCAGCCCCAGCCAAGCTGCCCCAGGAGCACACACAGGACTCTGAGTGATGATGGTTCCTTGGCAGGGGCTGAGCTGCCAGCACCCAGCAGGAAGGGGGCTCGCTGGAGCGGGGCTGCGGGGGGTGTCGCTGTCTTCACCCTCCCATTCGGAGCAGTATAAACCCGATTTTAATGTGGACTCCGCCACTTGCCCAGACACATGGCCTCACTCCCCACCGGTTGCCTTCCTCCTCCTCCCGTGATGAATTTAATGCCCCCTCCATGCCAGGCCCCACATCGGGCCCCCGTGCTGTCTCCAGTTGCATATTTACAGCTGAGCTGTCTTACCCACAGCCGCACAGCATGGCAGGGACAGAACCAGGGCAGGAGGCCCTCGCTTTCTTGCTCCATGCGCTGTGCTCTTCTTCCTACCCCAAGGAGCTCACCTTTGAGTGGGACAGCCAGGAAAACCATGGCTCTTGCCTACAGTTAGGGAGAACAGAAAAGGAGGAGAGAGTGTGTGTGCTATGGGAGAGGTTCATTCTGTCTGAGGTGGGTGGGAATCCAGGAAGACTTCCAGGAGGAGGTGACGTTTGAGCCAGGCCTCAAAAGATGAGGGGAGGTGAGAAGCAGCTGTTAGTGGTGGGACTTGCGTGCTAGGCTTTGAGCAATAGAACTTTTGTTTCAAATGAAGTCTTAGAAGGATTCCGCATATAACAGGGATCTCTGTAGAGCCACAGGGATTAAGGCAGGGAGAGGGCTGGGAAGATAAGACACTGACATAATCAGGGCTGTTAGACATAGTAATAGTCCAAGCAGGAAAGGATGGTTGCCTGGTACAGATAGAGCCATACATCCCAGACGCTGTGCTGGCACAGCATCCACAGGACTTGACGTAAGGGGTGACAGAGAGGGAGGTGTCAGGCCGGATTACAGCTACCCTGTGTGGCAGGAGGGGAGGTCCAAGCAGGGTGGGTATGTGCAGATAGAGTGTGTTGACCACTGCTGGTTAGCTACTGGCCCTTCCAGGCCCAACTTAATGGCTTCAACACCAACCTTTCATTATTTCTCACGAGGCAGTAGTGGGCTGGGGCAGCAGGGCTGAAGGTGGAGGTCACAGGGCCTCTCATGGCCCAGGCTCCGGACCTCACCACATTTGACTGGCCAGAGCAAGTCCCAAGTGCAGCCCAGATTCACAGGGTGGGAAATAGAAGCCACCTCTCCATGGGATGAGTGCAGAATCACTGCAAGGACCTGGGCACAGGAAGGGGAGAATGGGGTTGTTTGGCTGTCCATCTACCACACATGACAGCTCCCCTCTGTGCAGGCAGCAGCTCCAATACCTGTCAGCCCTGCACACCCACCCAACACCTGGGTCTGCCAAGTGGGGGATTCCACGGGGGTTCTCCAGGTGTCTGGGTCAGGGTCTCAGACTGCAGGGTACCAGGGCTGGCCAAGTGCTGCCAGCCTCTGCCCTGCACTGCTGCCCAGCCCACTAACCCTGCCCCCTTTCAATCCTCATTAAGGGGACCCACTCTGGAGACATTCTGAAGGGCAGACAGGGGCTGCTGCACCATGGGGTTCTGTTTGAACCTTTCTACACTCAGGCCCTAGGGCCAAAGGACACAAGGATGGCCAGAAACTCTCTCTCCATGCCCCAACCCCAGTGGATGCCATGGAGCTGCTGAGCAAGCTGGTTTGGAAGTGGCCACCTCCTACGTTCAGCTTCCAGTGGCCCAAGCCCTTGACGGGAGTGCATGCAGCTGAGGCAGGGGATCACCATGCGTGCAGCCTGGGGCTTCAGCCCAGTGCTCTTTGGAAAGTCTAGTTCAGCCCCAGCACCATGTCTGGCTTGCCTGATGGTAGGGAAGCAGAAGTCTGATGACTCACCTTCCCCCTGGCCCTAAAATGCAAAACCTCATGGGCAGTTTTCAGGTCTGAGGCACCCCTAGCTTCTGTCAGGGAGTGGGTAGGAAAAAGGGAGACAGCCTCAGAGAGGCCTGCTGTCGTCCCAACCTGCTCTCAGGGCTGCAGACCCGCCCCCGCCCCTCTGCCCTGCCTGCTGGTGAGCACCCTCTCATGGTGCCACCACACAGAGCCACCTCCCCTGTGAGCAGGAAGACTGTGCTGGGAGGAGAGCAGTCCCTTGGTCAGCTGGGGCCTCCCAGATATTTGTGGGTTTGAGTTTGTTCAGAACAAGGGCTGGTAAGGCTGGCAGGGAGGGGGGATGAGCCCAGGAGGAGACTAGAGGGTGATGGGTGGGGGGTGGCAGGGGGAAAAGCCAGGGTCTTCCTAGGTGGCAGCAGGCAGAAGAGCAGGACTCACTTAGACAGCAGCACAGCCCTGGGCCGAGGTGGGTGTGAGGACAAGTCGTGCTCAGCTGTCCTTTACCCCCTCAATGACATGTCATGCTGTGGGCACCCAGATACTTTCTTCCTTAGAACCGCTCAAATCCAAGCCCTCTGTGTCCTCTCCTCCTCCTCCCCCCATAGGAATAAGCCCTCGCATCCTGAGTACCTGCGTGTGCCACACACATGCAGTGTGGCTTATATACACTGTCTTCATCAATGCCCACCACAGATATACAGTAGGTGGCATAACGCCCATCCTGCAGATGTGGAGACTGAGGCTGGGAGAAGTAGCTGGCACTGGGAGAGACATTCACTGAGTGCTCGCTGGGTGTCAAGGCCCTGTCCTAGGGGCTGGGCACACGTCCAGGAAGAAGGCAAAGCTGGTGCCCTCCTGAGCTGCCTTCCAGTGGGAAGAGAGGCAGGGAGCAACTCACTGGAGTATAGACCAGCCTGTTACAGCAGGAAGTAGTGACGGTGTGGCCAAGCAGGATTAGGCAGGGGGAGGGAAAGAGACTGCAGGAGGGAGTCAGGGAAGGCGCCCAGTGTGGAAGTGTGGAGAGTTCCAGGTGGAGAAGGTGAGGCAGAGCTGCCGTGTCACCGGGACGGGGTTTGGATTGTGGAGGATTTCAAGCGGGATCTGATTAACTCTGCAAGAGCTCCTGCAGCCTGGGGCCGGGGGGCAGTGGGGCTCCCTCCCCTCCTGGCCCGATGCCCGAGCACCAGCAGCTGTGAGACCCCCTGTCCTAACCACCCATACTTCTCTTTGGCCACAGGTTGCGTATTCATCGAAGAGAACTTTTCTTTGAAATGTCCCAAACATAAGGTAAGTGACCACAGGTGCTCCCTAGAGAGGGGTCAGGCAGGAGAGGAGCTCCTCCGCCTTCGCTGCCCCCTGCCCCGACCTGCGGGCCCCCAGCAGGGCCCAGCTGCGGAAGGCAGGGCGTTCTTTTCGCCCACCCCCCACATGCCGCAGCCCCCACCTGCCCTCTTGTCGCCGCCACCGCAGCCCGGCCGTCGGGGCAGGTCAGCACTTGCTGGTCATGAAGAACGCTCTATAAACAAGACAGTTCCTGAGCGGGGATAACCAGGGCCTAGGGACATCCCTCAGGCTGGGACAGAGGCAGGGGCGGGACGTGGGCACGAGGGTGAAGGTTGGCAGGGCGGGGGTTAGAAGAAAGGAAAAGCCTCAGTTGCCGCAGAGTCACAGGCAAGTCCACCCAGGGGCGGGGCCTCGGGAGGGGCGGGGTCACCCCGGGGGCGGGGCCTGCGACCCGAGCGGAATTAACCCCTTCTGCACGTCGGCGAACGTCTGTAACGGGCTGTCGGGCGTCTGCTCCTGTCTTGCAGAGGCTGCCGTTGTAATCCACCCCAACGGCTGGAGAAGGCGCCGGAGCCCGCCGGCCCGCCCGCCGCCGAAGGAGAGGAGCCGCCTGCGCAGCTCTCGGGCCTTGGAGCTGCCCCCAGCGCGGGTCCAGAGCCGATCCTTGATCCGGGTTCCGGATCTTGGATCCGGCCGCCGAGGGCTCAGACGCGCGGCCCCGGGTTGGGAAGAAATCCCGTTCCGGAGCTGCTCGCTCCAGGAACCGGACGGCACAGGGCGTCCCTGCCCACACCCCTAGGGCCAGGCTCGGCGTCCGGACTGCTCGGGGCACCTCCGGCGGGGGTGGGAGACGGCTTCGGTCTGGTGGCGCTTCCCCCCCGGAAGTTCCAAGACGACGTGGCACGGATTCCACGTGGGTGCCGCCCCACCCTAGTCGGTGGTGGCCTGCAGCTGGGAGCCCTGAGGTTGAGGGGGAGGTGACGAAGGGCCCTGGGAGAGGCTGACGGAGGCTTCTGGCCCCGTGAACGAAGCAGGGGAAGCCGAAGCCTTTTTGGAGAGGGCCAGGCAGGCGAAGGAGGGGGGCAGAGGCTTTGGAACAAGCAGTGTCCGAGCGTCCTGCCCACGCCCGGCCTTCACTGGAGCTTTCGTGTGGTTCGGGTAAAGCCCAAAGTCCTGGTCCTCTGCTTAGGGGGTGCGGGCCCCCGGGGTGCGGGCGGGACTGGGACACCCTTTGGCTTGTGTTCGTCTCCTTCCCAGCCCTCCGCCCCACCCCTGGATCCCAGCCTGGGAGATGCGACCAGAGAGCACCTCCGGCGGACGCGCGCTCGTCCCTCGGCACCACCACCCTCCTCCGGGGACCGCAGCGCCCACTGGGCACGGGAGCAGGAACAGCGCTAGATTCGTGTACAAAACCTGTGTAGCCCTCTATATATATGTTACATAGAATGTATATATGTTGGGAACATGCTCGCTTCTCCCGTGTGTCGCCGCCGTGCGTCGTGCGCCCCGCAGCACAAAGCCCCGAACGGGCCCTCGCCGCCTAGGGGGCTACTGCGATGCCCCTTCCCCATGCAGCCACCACCGGCCCAGGCCAGTCCCCGCCAGTCCGTCTGCCTGTCCGTCCGTGTCCTCAGCTCTGTCCGCGCTTCGATAGGCCTGACGCAGCCCCCAGCCAGGGGCCGCCCTAGCAACTTCTTGTACATATGACTGTAAAATGGTAAACGTGTGTATTATATCTGGCCTCGTTATATAGTGTATATATATGTATACATATACATATATATAATATATATGAAGACTGTAAATGTTAAGACGACTAGTGTTCTTATTAGTATATTGCTTCACACTGAAGATTGTGTGTATCGAGCTGTTTCTAAAAGATGTTTATTTTCCTTAAGAGTAAAAAACAGTCATTGCATTCAGAAAAAAAAAAAGTCAATAAAGATACAACGATTGTTTTGGAAGTCTGCAGCCCGTGGATTCTGACCAGATTCTGCTGGGAGACGGGGCCAGGCTTTAGGTGGGGGATGGGAACGGAGGGGGCACAAGTGGGGAGTCCAGGATTCTGTCCTGTACTGTAGAACAGGAAATCCCTGCTGCCCGGTCACCTCCCTGCCCCCAAGTGGCCTGGGTCTTTGCCAGGATGCAAGGCTTCCCCAGATATGAGGACGTCACCAGGGGACAGGGTGTAGGGGAGGTGAGACACCCAATACAGGGAGACCCAAGTCGTAGCTCCTATCACAACTGGTCCTTGAAGACACTGAGTGCATCTTCCCCTGTCACCCTGAAACCTGACGGGGGCAGAAGCTAGGAGGTGAGAAGGAATAGACCATCAAGGCCCTATACCACCCAAACTTGGGACCAGAGCTCAATAGGACAGGTCAGCTGGAGGTCATACAGTTCCCCACCCCACCCCCACATACATTTTGTCCATTATGGCAGTGGGGAATGGGAAGCCTTTGCCTAGGTGCTGGGGGAAGGGAAGGCCCAAAGGACTCTCTGGTCAGCATATCCATCAGCTGAAGCACACACACCCTCCTCCACAAAGGAACAAAACCCAGAATATAAATAATTTCATTTTTTATTCTCTGTACAAAACTTCTCAACCTATGAAAATAAAGTTTCCGAAAGAGAAAGTAGCACATGAGCCTCAGAGGCCAGGAGGGTGGCACACCCTGATCTACACTATGTACAAGTCTCCCTAGAAGGGAAAGAGGAGCCTTGGGGCAGGGCTACCCTTGCTGACCGGGAAAGCCAAGCAAAATGTAGCCCCTCTTCGCTGTAGACAGGAGAGGGAAAAGCCACTGAAGTGCCTGCGAGCAAAACCCGGCAGGCTGGGCCCCTGCAATCTCGCAATCGGTCACCAGAGGTCAGCACCACCCTGGCCGCCGCTCAGCTGCTTTAGGAACGGGCTGCGGTGGGAGGGTAGCGCCCCTCTGGCCTCCCAGCGAAAGAGACAGGTCACCGAAGCCCCACCCCACCCCCACCCCGGGACCGTGCAGCCACAGGTGAATCGTGGAGATCCGGGTCTCCGGTGTTGCCTGCGGCCAGTCGAGCCCGGGACGCTGAGGGTCTAGCTGGAGGTGACGGTGGTCCCGCCGCCCAGGCGCATGAGCATCTGCTGGCAGTCGTGCAGCAGCCGGCGATCGCCGAGCTTCTCCAGCGTGCGCGCCGCCTCGGCCAGCATGCCCACGCGCTGACCGGGCGCCGAGAGGAAGCCGGGCGGCAGGTAGCACGAGGCCAGCAGCAGAGCCTCGGCGTGCTCCCGCCGCGTGGGCCGGGGCTCCAGCTCCGCAGCCGCGCCTGCGCACAGGGCCGCGTCAGGGGCGG